GGTTTATGTATCCGGCCAGCGAGCTGCCGTTACGACTTTGTTACCGGGGACCCTTTCACAGACCCAACCCCAAACCCAACCCCAACCCCAACCCCTTTTCCAACCCCAAACCCAACCCCAACCCCAAACCCAAACCCAAACCCAACCCCAAAACCCAACCCCAAAACCCAAACCCAACCCCAAACCCAACCCCAAACCCAAACCCCAACCCCAACCCCAAAACCCAACCCCGCTCAACTACATTGCCTTATGTGTTGATAATACTGGCAAATTTAAATGTTTCATTAATCGATACATAGAAGGAAGTTTGAACTATTTTTAGAATAACCTATAATACACACTCATAATTTCTTTGTGATTCTAGTAATGCCCAACAACAATTATGACTTCTATTTATAAAAATATTTTTAAACCTGGTACGATTTAAATAAGCAGCCAAGTGTATTAATTATTATGATAGCTACATCTTGAACTATAAATTATTTTAAAGAATTTCAACATCTTTATTGGAGGAGCTGTCTTGGAGAATAATATGATATTTGTTGAAGTTAATTGATTACGAATTGCTCAGCCCTGCTTATGCTATAAGTTCTGATAATTTTACAGTATATACTGCATCTAAATTTTAATTAAGGTTTTTGGATTTTTGGATTACTTCACAAAAGCTTGCTCGAACCTCGTATCTTCTAGTTCTTCTTGCACAACTGAAACCTAATACTGATTGAGACGATTGTACGAAAACTGATTTCTTTAAATCAACTCTAGCCACATATAAATGTCTTGAATGCATAATTCCACCCCTTGCTTTGATTTTGAATATTCTACTCCAACCATATTTGGTATCGAATGATGCAGTAGTAAAATTTTTCTGATAATTCCAAAAATCATATTGCTTGTGCTATTATATGTCAAATTCTGCAATAACTCTAATCCTCAGGCTATGCAACCCTATTTTTTCACAGCAAATGTGAACCACTGCTTTAACCATTCTGCATCTAATCTATATTAGATAAACTTGCTTTTGAACAATATAAATTAGGCTCTGATGTTACAATTTGCTACAACTAAACACTATACTACAGCTTTTGTTGGAAGTATTGTTATTCTTGATTTTGCTTAGAAAATGATCCAGTTACTTGCATTTTACTGTGGTAAATACACAACTTGAGCAGTAATTAATGGTTAGATTGTTAATATTTTGCACATTTTAATAATGTCCACCGAATATAATCAAGTTAATTTAAAATACATGTTAATTATGCAATAACTACCTGTTCAATCTATGGTGCTGTATAATGTTCAACTTGCAAAAAGAACGTTGAATTATATATCTTATGATTACTTAGTATTTTTGCTGCATTTTTGTGCTATTTTTTAGTTAGGTATTTTAACCAACTCAACGCTTTCTATAATTCTCTTCTATTTTTTGTTCTGCATGAACATGTCCCTAGAACTAACAGATGATCAAATTTTGATGAGAAATTTTAACTAAATCATACCTGTTTTAGATGCATACTTCGATGAATACGGTTTATACTTCTTGTTTAGGCAATTCCAAATAAATGTATAATTTATTTCCTGCCAAATGCATATAATTCCTAATGAATGTTCAGAATACTTTGATGATTACTATGTCCTTTCTTTATTTAGAGCAATCCACAAAAGATATTTCTGAGTAGACTTAATCCCGATGGCAAAACTACTAGTAAACAACAATATTTTAAATTTAGCAAAGGAAGGTTTTATTGTGTGGATCGCTTCTAAATTAAATCGCATGAATTGCTGGCAACGCTTGCAAATGATTCATTATTGGTTTCACACTTAATGAAAAAGCTTTCATTAATAAATTTTATTTTTTTTACCTTCCATAGATACTCTCCTTGATAAAAGTAGAACAGCTCATCATAAATTAATGCTCAAGCATATTTAACTTTTTGAAATTGATTAACTAATAATCAATAATGCGAATTGGATTTATCTTTCATGACCATAATAGAGATATGTTCTAAGTGGGCAATAGATTTTCATTACTTACTAATCAATGTTCCCTCAAGCGGCATATGAAATAAGTGCAACTTGAATTTTTCATATATTGGTGCTAAAATTGACAACTATTTAATGTATTTGCAAATCAATTGCATCAAATTTTTATACTTCAGCGATGTATTTATAAAATACTTTGGTTTTCTTCTACTAACTTCAGTATAGACGATTATATTTAATGTTTCAACTGACCTCATTCTACTTGTGCTACTAAGGCTTTATGTAGTCCTTACCATTTCATATGATAACTTTTGATATTGTGTTACATTACTGTAATTTTCAACCATAAATTATTCTTCTCGCCATTATTTTTATCAAATTTTAATGACCTCATTTTATAGAAATGCAAGTC